AGCACATGGTTTGCAGACTTGCTTGGCGCCACCGGACCCCACACAGCAATGCTCAGCTCTGCTCCACGTTGTCCTCTCATTCCAGGCCTGAGGAAACAGCCCCAGCTGGAGCATACTATTCTCACGGCAGAATGCAGAAGTGTAAGAGGCCAAACCAATCCATGAGAGTACATTCAATGCATCTGCACAGACATGAGTGTACACTTTAGACTCCATGCAATCACATACTACTGGCCAAAGCAAGTCACGTGTCCAACCCCAACAAGGAATGGAGATGCAGACTCTGTTTATGGGAAGGCACTGGAACTCACCTAACAAAGAATGCCGATTGCAATCTTTTTCGGAGAAGAAAGCATAGAGTTGGGAATAATAATCAAATCTAAAACAGAGTGTAAGCAAATTGGAAACATCATAACTATAAACATAATATAATATTCCAAGGCACTATTTTCAAGGTGGTAATAAATATAATACACAAATATTAGATGTATAATTTAATATATGGAGATAAAATTAAGTCAGTTATATATTTTATTGGCTCCTGTCATATATTTATGTTGTAAAAATGCATACACTCTTTAGAGTATGAATTTCATTATTTTCTGAATTTCTTCCCTTTTAATCGTTTTTTACTTAATGTTGTTACAAAATGGCTTATTGGCAAATACATATTGCAAAATAATTATTGATTGTAAATTATATTTCTGCAGACTTGGCCCATGTAATGCTTCTGAGGTGCAAAATTTAACAGAAGTTTAGTGCTGTGTATCTGAAAGACCAGATCAATATTCTGAGAATGAACTTGTCATAGGAAACAGTTATCTTTGTGAGGACTATAAAATGTATCAAGTTTAGGGAAATATTAAATCAATCACAACCACTGAGAAATAAAATAGAGTTGTAAAGGCTAAAGAAATATAAGCTTTTTACTTCTTTACACACTACTTGAAATCTTAAAATTAATAATTCCATATCAAGTATTGGATTTCAGCCTTCATGGGTCCCAGGGTTATAAACAAACTCGCAGTCACATTCTAGAATCTACCTGTGTTTAAAAATTGGTCCGCTGAGCCACACACCTTGCCCCACATAAAGGAGCAAGAAACATGGGCAGTGGGAAGGGGAGTCTTGGAGTGGCCTGAAATCATTCATCTCATCATGCAGCTCAGTTTTCTTCTGCCCCTCAATGTCATTATCCCTCTTCACTCCCAGGAATACATGAGTGGGTAAAAATGTAAAGCAGTCCCCAAGATGAGGGATGTCATGCTGCTGAGAACTAAAATCAAGACCTACAGCAAAGGCAGTGATGAGGCAAGGAGGGCTGGGAGTGTGTGATTACTCTGCTTGTCCTGCTGGTAGGCTGATGCACTGAGAACCATCTGTACTTTTCCTGTGGCTCTAGCAAGTCACTCGCCGTGGGACCAAAACCAACTTTGGGCTGGAAGAAATGGAGAAAAACTCTACTTTTTGAGAAAAATCTCCACTTCATGCTCCTGATGTGTGTGACTATCTTTGGTCTCTATGAGCCCACCATGAACTCCCTAATTTCAGTGAACACCAGCATGATATCCTATAACAAAATGTACTCAGTCACCTGGGGAATAATTCCTTCTTTTTTTGCTCACTGCTTCTCATATGTAACACAGTCAAAATCGTTAATCAGCTAGATTTTATGCATTTATCCTCATATTAATGTTGTCATTGCTTACAGTCTATATGATATGTATAACATAATATCAAATTGAATCATCTGGAACTTAAGATAAATAGGTCTCTGGCCTTTTGAGGTTTAGCTCACCATTTGTAAATAGTCACATTGTCTACATTTTAATAGTCTGATTTTTCAGCAACCAAATCTTACTTAATACTTTGCAGTGCCTTCACCTTAACTTAAAAGAATTTTTTTTTTTTACTTTGCATAAGCAATACTGCTTCTCCCAGGTGACAACATATTTTGAAAAGAATTTTTGTAATGTTCAAGGGAAAGTGGCCAGCTGTATTCTAATCTTATAAACGGAGACAATGAGTTGAACTACTGCATGAGGGTTTTACCAGTTCCTATCATGAATGTCATTGACCAGGAACTAAGTGACCCTCTGCCTAAAACCGTATTGTCAACTTTCTTTGCAGTTATTTAAAATTAAAGGACATGTTCATTTCTCTTGCCAGTAAAAGTGACAGTGCCTCTTATATCATCTTTGAAACTCTATGACTTCAGTTCTGCAATGTGTAAAAAAAGACTCTTCACAAAGTCAGGTAAAAAGCCACAGCACTTGAATCAGATCTCACCAGGAGAACATGTCATCTTGCAGGGATGCAGGGTTTGAATGAGGCAAAATTCATTCAAAGTCCCTCTTTCATTTTGAGCAAGGAATAAAACTGACTTTTCCTCTTTGAATCAGATGCTCGTGAGAGAAGCAAATACATTTCTAATACAATAAGAATTAAGAGTACTATCAACACAGGTTATATAATTCTGGCAGTAACTATGACCCTAACCTAAATATATTGTTTCTTTAATTATTTTAGTGAAAAGTTGACCTCTGTCCAGAATAACTTTTTCTTTTAGCATATATATAACAGTTGGATGGTAATAAAGTTATATTTTTGTACCAGAACAGGTTAAAAATATCTTGAAAATTAAGTAATTTGGTATTCAAAGTGTGTAAAAGTTCTGGCAAGGATTGATATAGAAATACTCTACCAATCAACTCCCTGTCTCTCTGAAACTCAAGTAGACTGTAAAATGGCACATTACCAAAGTCCTCAAAGTACTATGGGGATGTGAGATGTATACAATTCTACATGAAATGTTTGCCTTTACTGTGCACGCTTGCATTCGCAGCGTTCCAATGCACACTGAGACAATGCTCATTGTCTTAGAGCCTCCAAACAGTGACATGATTCACTTACTACATGTCTGACATTTCAAAATCTCACCAAAGGGGTGGGTAGATAAGCAAGTTTATTGTGTACTATTATTCTTCTATTGCAAATACATCTTTAGCCCCTTGAGTTATTTTCTTTAAAGCTTTCCAGAAGTAAATAAGAACTATGATTTCACTCAAAGATTGTATTTCCTTTGGGAAAGTTAAAGAGGTGCTAGAAGATAATTGGCTTCATAGCAATGACAAGGAAGCAAGCCTTCCCTAAAGAAAAAAAAAAAAATGTAGCCCTGGCCAGATAGCTCAGTTGGTTGGAGAGTCATCCTGTATATTGAAAGGGGGTGGGTTCAATTCCCCGTCAGGGAAGGTATCTAGGTTGTGGAAGATGGGAGGCAAGTGATAGAAATTCTCTGACATTGATGTTTCTCTCTCTCCTCCCAGGCCCCAAACCCTCCTCTCTCTCTGAAAATTCAAAAAGGTCCTCAGGTGATGATTAGAAAACATATAGACTCATTCAATTAATTTTTTTCAACTTAAATGTGTAGAAACAGAAAACAGAACAAATAAAAGTAATGTATTTGTTAGAGTCTCTGTAACAAACTATATGTTGTTCAGAGATGCAAAATTAGCAATGAAGAATAAAAGGCATCTGTGTATTTTTTTGGCTGCTATACATTTCATCCTTTTTATTTGCAGCATTCCATTTTCACAATATTTTCTTTTTAGTTTCTTGAATGCTATTTATTTTTCAGAGGAGGAGAAGACTGGAGAATAGTTAAGATTAAAAGAATTATTTTTTTTTATTCTATTTCAGTGTTTTAAGTTTAAGCATATTAAAATCAGATTCAAGGCAATAGAAATTGTCACATGACGGGGAGTCTTAAAATATTTGTCACCACTCCATTATCTAGCAAAGTATATTCTTAACTTTTTTTATGTTCTGTGCCTCCCGTGTTCGTGACGTGAGCAGAATACCAGGTAGTGAGAGGAGCTGGCGTGGAGAAGCTGTGAGATACAGATGAACGAATGTCTTTGACTGAGTAGCTGTACACTGTGCTAAGCCTGTTCAAATGCACTCGCTCAGTCTGTGTTCTATACAGCTCTGTAGAGCAGGAGTTACTGCTTTATTTTACAGGTAAAAGTAAAATCTCAGCCTTGTTAGGTAACTGGCCTAAGTTACTTTTAAGTTGTAAGTCTGGGACTTGAACCCAGAAATGTTAGAGAACAGAAACCATGCTTTGTCTTTACAATATCTTTTTCCAGATAATCAAGTGGAGGTGCTGGCCAAAAGAACAATACAGAAATATATGACATTATGGGGCATTATCTCCTTTTTTATTTTTAAAATTATTTTTTGTTTAGTGCCAGTTTATTTTTTTAATTTATATTGAATTTATTGGGGTGACATTGGTTAATAAAATTACATAGGTTGCAGTTGTACAATTCTATAACACATCATTCATTACCCCAAGTCAAAATAAACTAACAAACAAAATAGAAGCACACTCGTAGATACAGAGATCAGACTGACAGCTGTCAGAGGGAACGGGGCTTGGGGCTATAGAAAAAGGTAAATGGATTAAGCAAGAAAACAATAACAACTCATAGACACAGGCAACAGTATGGTGATTACCAGAGGGAATGGGGGCTGAGGGAGGTAGAAGAGGGTAAAGAAGGGATTAATAGTGATGGAAGGGGACATTATCGTTTGAAGAAAAACAGAAAAGGGCGGGGGTTGATGATTGAGTTGTAATATAGTATAGTCACGTATAAATACTATTTCTAAAATTCTTTGTTCATATTTTAATAAGTCAAAAATGTGTTCTTAAGATGAGTATTTGTTGTGGAATTAAGCAGCCCAAAAGAAGAAAAAGTGCATCGTGAATTGAAATGAGAAAATGCAGGTCTTCCATTGATTCTCCACTTTTGGAATCTCATTAGCCATCAGATGGAAATTGATGACTGCCAACAAATAAACATTTCTCCCATGCTAGCTTGTTAAAGTGCCCAGAGCCACCAAGTACAGATTAGTTTGAAGTGCACTTCTTTTCCCTTCTGGAGGTGGTTGAAAAATCAGCTTTAGATACAAGAATGCTTTTCCTCTCTTTCCCTCAGGCTGCTGAAGGATGCACAGAATGAAGCTTATTTTAAAAGCTGGTATCAGAAGCTGTTGGCTGCTCTCCAATTCTGTGCAGGAAAAGCCTTGAATGATGAGTTTTCCAAGGAGATGAAACTTATTGAAATTCTGGGAGACATTGGAGAAAAAGTCAAGTCTGCAAGTGACCCTGACAGACAGGTTTGTTGAGAAATCAATCTCCATGTAGTGAAATATATTTTAAAATCCTTTGTTTAATTAAGTTTTTTTTATTAATTTAGTTTTGTTATAGATGTTTCTCCTTTTTTCCTCCCTACACACCCTCCTCCCGATCCCCCTCTGCACCCCCTTCCCCAGCATTGTTGTCTATGCCTGTTGGTTATGCATACATGCATATAAGTTCTTTGGTTTATCTTAAGTTTTAGTTTCATAGCTTAGAAAGCAAATTCCTTGGCTATACTTAGATATAAGACACAAATCAATTATGTTTGTTTGTTTTATTGATTTTTTAAAGAGAAAGAAAGGAAGAGAGAGATTTTTGTATGTGCCCTGACTGGGGATTGAACCTGCAACCTTGGCATATTAAGACAATGACTTAACTGAGCAACCCAGCCAGGGCCAGGACATGGTTTTTTTTTATCTAAGTACCCATGTAGCATACAGAGAGTAATAAGAAGAGGCCAACTTAAAGGCGACTTGACTAAAAAAGACCAGATGAAGTAATTTCCTCAAAACAGTAACACAGCTAAGATTTGTAGATGTGCACAAGGGGACCTTTCAGGGTACCCTTGTCCAAGGTACAAAATCTAGGACTAGATCTTTCTAACACTCACTAATCAAGGTCATATTTCTAAAGACGTTTGCCGAAACAAATGAAATGATTTAAATGAGAAATCAGTAACAGTGTGGAATGTACTGCCTTTATAGTAAGATCCATGATAGTCAAAATATTGTGCCTCTTTCAAAACTGATTATAATAGTGCACTTGGCTATTCTTTTTCTTGATTTAATGAAAAAACGCTTGCTCTTTCCAATTACCTGCATCATTAAGTAGGTTCTCTTAAGTTCAACATTCTGGATGCAGGGAGATAGTAGACATCTATTCATTGTAATAAGAACAACAATCAATAACAATTAAGTATTTACTACAGACTGGGAGTTAAGGATAGACAGATGCCTGAAACACCAATCTTGTTCTCAAGGAAGATCATGGTTTCTCTCTACCTGATGTTTAAAAGCATCAAATTTTCAACAAAGTAATATGAAAATAGTAATAGATAAACTGTCCCAGAATTTTTTCTGAGCCCAAGATTTTTTTGCTGGAATTTACTTAATTTGGTAGAAATAACAGAAGCTATGCAACCTTGCCTATCTAGGAGATGATAGAAAATAAAAAGCATATGCATAGAATTTAAATGGGAAACCTATAAATGCTGGTTACGTAGAAGAACTTTAAGGCACTTAGCATAATGAAAAACATGATTCATCCATACTATTGCAAACTCATTAATTATTTTCTAGAGATTAACAAAACTTTGAAAGCAAATAAAATAAATTTGTTTTTAAATTTACAAAATTAGAATGTAGGTTCAGTTGTTATTATGATTTTAAATCCCCCACATACGTGAGATGCACACTATAAAATCCCTCTCATATGTAAGATGCACACTATAAAATAATTCTGGTGCCTTTTCCACCATTTGCATCATGTTCCAGAGATATTGGTATTATTCTCTCAAATAGATGCATTTATTTCACTTTGGCTGATTTTGTGATAATGCCTTTTCACATGAAAATAGGAAGAGAAAAAGTAAGAGGTGGGAAAAGCATTTGTAATTTTTCACAGTTTAAGTTACTGCTTGTTTGTTTGTTGCTTAATTTTTTTTCCTTTATTGATTTTAGAGAGAAAGGAAGGGGGAGGGAGAGAGAGATATAAACATTGATGAGAGAGAACATCAATTGGCCGCCTCCTGCACGCCCCCCACTGGTGATTTGGCCCACACCCTGGGCATGTGCCCTGACTGGGAATTGTACTGAAAACCTCTTGGTGCGTGGGTTAATGCTCAACCACTGAGCCATACCAGCCGGGCTGTTCATTTGTTTTTTTAAAGCACTCATTAAATCTAACTGTATGAAATGAACAAATTTTAATTAAATGAAGAGAGCAGAGATTTTCCTCCATGATATTCTTCAGGCAATTCTAGGCATAGATAAGACGAAGCAAGACAGGAAGATTGTTGCAGTGTAATTTTGCATCATTTCTCCAGCTTGCTCTTCTGGATCTGGGAGCAGTAGGTTGTCTTAGTTGCCAATGAGCCAGGAGAAAGATGGTTGAGAGCTAACTCAGAGTTATTATTATGCTAGCCTCGTTTTTAGAATTGGGTTTAAAAAGGTTTCAAAAGTGGGACAAAAGGAGCTTTCTTAATTTTGAATTATTATTCCTGTTTTGTTGGGAATTGTTACGGTTTCCCCGTTCTGATGGTGTTCGTGGCCTCAGACCTTCCACAGGCACCGTGGAAGAGCACTGTGGGAGTGAGTCAAGTCCCAGAAATATACTTATTGGTAAACAATACACATTGTCGTTCCCGACATTTATCAACTGTCTGCAATTATAACATTTTGTCATTATTGCTCACCACATATGAGAACTTTTTCTAATATGCACTATTATCATTAAGTATAAAGCTTGAGAGTTACAAACTAAGATTTTAGGAAATTATCAGCAATGAATCATGTTAATAATTACTTAAAGCCAGGACTGGATGTTGATGGGCCATAGGTCAAGTCCACCCCATGGTGTTTCCATTGAACAGAACAGTGCTTCATTTTGGTTTTGTGTTTAATTGAATTTAAAATCCTCCAGAAAGGGCATGCACTCATTAATTCCCCCTTCTCCCCAGCACTCCCTATTGTCTTTAGCCTGCTGCCTTCTCAGATGTGGCTACATCACCGACCTGACCCTGAGGCACCCAAGTGTGCAACCCTTGAATTGAAGAGTTTATTTAATCAACATGAGAAAACTATAACTTGAAGACAAAGTGATGTTTTTTTACAGTTTCTAAAATGCTCTTTCTTATGATTTTTCACAGGAGGTACTGAAGAAAGAGATTGGCAGACTGGAAAAATTCTTTCAGTATATACATACCTGTCACCTTCCTCTGAACCCTGCCCTCTGTATAAAGGGGATTGATCGTGAGGTAAGTCAATTTATTCCGTAGATATGTTGAGTATTTTTGGTTCTGTATTGTTTAGCTCACTGTATATTTCTGAAATGGTGAATATAATTTATAAAGATCTTATTGCAATTATTTTAAGAAAAAAGTAATTCAAACCATTTGATACATTGTGACCATTTGGGATCACATTGGCCAAATCATCAGATGATTTGTTGGTTTAGAGACAAACTATACATCAGTTCAGTAAGGAAAAAACTAAAGATACTTCTCACTGAATTGATTTCTCGATTTATTCAAAATGGCTGAGTTGGTGACTTTAAGCAGGCTGAGTTTAATTTCATGCTTATTTAGATTATGTGCATACCCATGTCTAGTACAGTAATATATCATTAGCTACAACATCTCCATTTAGATTCAATTTAAAATTCATTGGTGCTCATGTGTCAGTGTGCCATATTTCTAGTGCCTGGGAAGTCCTTCCTGGCGTGTCTCACTCACAAACCCCTTCTCGTCCTAAGGCACTGTCAGCCACCCTTCTTTGACATGGAGTCATCCTTCCTCCTCTGTTCTCCAAGAACTTTATTATTCTCCTTCTCAAAAGCCCTAGAGTAGAAGACACTGATAGAGAGAAGGATTGATAAGTGAGATTTAGAAGTGAGGAAGTTAAACTATCAGTCATGCATAATAAATTTACTCAATTAAAAATATAAGCCTTGGCTGGTTTGGCTCAGCTTTTAGAGCATCGGCCTGTGGTCCAGAAAGACCCGGGTTCGGTTCCCGCTAAGGGCATGTACCTCGGTTGCAGTTTGTCCCCGGCCCTGGTTGGGTCATGCGGGAGGCAGCCACTCGATGTGTTCCTTTTGCATCGATGTTTCTTTCTCTCTCTCCCTCCCACTCTATCTGAACAAAAAATGGAAGAATGTCCTCAGGAGAGGATGAAATATATATATATAAGACAATCAAGAAAATAAATCCAATAATTAGGAGAAAAAATAAATTATTATTATATGAATATAAAAAGTTTTGCTAAAATCTCGATACTATCACCTTTATAATTTTGCTGTTACAAAGACACCCTACAAACTTTCCTAATATGCTTCCTAAACATATTTTGATAAATAACAAAATAAGGCATCAGTTCCATAAACTGAGATATGTATGTCTATTCAGACTACAATCCAAATCATTGCTAATTTTTTAAAAATTGTGTAACTTGTTAATCATTAACAGTGAATCTGATTAATGCTAAAGACATATGGAAACTAAGCATTTCAAAGACATAGTATGTTAAATCAAAATAACAATATAGATCATTGAGTCCAGGCGTTGGTTTTTTTTGTTTGTTTCTGCTTCTTTGGTATGTTGGTGTTAGTTGAGTAGACAATTTTTTCAATTAAAATTACAGATGAGTTTTGGCTTATGCATTTGGGAATGTGGGGTGCTAGCTCTAAGGGGTGGCTGCTGTGAGTATCCAGGTGAGCTGGCCAGACCTGGGTCACAAGCCCAGGAGTCACCACCCCTAAGTGCTATGATTTGGCACCACACTTCCCTCAACAACCTGCAACTATCAGCACTTTCCCTGAGAATGGGAGGTGCCCTGAGTAGAGCCAATCCTTCGCCCTATTTGCTCTGACCAGCTGTGCCTTGTACAAGGCTGCTGCACCTGTGCATTCAACAATGAACAGGACAGATGTGGCAGGTGATACTCTCACCTACAGAACATTTTAGTCTGTCCTCTGGTTCTGCTGAAAAACAAAGAGGTCTGAAGGGACACACATCACATCTGAAGGTACAATACATGTGGCGAATCAGAGCCCACATCTGGTTGGCCATCAGAGGAACCCTACTGGAAAGAGCCTCCATGAGTACAGCAAGACTTTCAGACAGACCAGACGGCCAATGATTCTTCTGAGAATCCACTTATAGAACAAGCTTTATGAATGCAGTGTCATTCCTTCCCCTGTCTCATTGAATACCAGAGACTCCATACTTGGGAGAAACCTCATAAATGTGATGAATGTGTAAAAGCCCCCTCCATATTGACTATCAGATAGCCCTTACTGGGGAAAACCTTGTGAATTTAATGAATGTGGGAGGCCTTTACTCAGAGTGAAAGTCTTTTCCAGCATCAGGCACTTCACAAGTGAGAAAGCTTACAGTTGAAATGAGTGTGGGAAAGCTTTCTGTTCCAACCATCAGAGAAACCACACTGGGAAGATGCTTACAAACGTAATGAACATAGAAAGACCTTCAGTGAGAATAAATATCTCAGTTGGCATCCAAGCCTGCACACTGGGGAACAAGCACAGAAATGTAGGCAGCATGGAGAAGCCTTCAATCAGAACTCTCAACTTGTCGGCTATGAATAAGTTCATAGCAGAGAAAAAAATCTGAATGCAGTCTGGCAAGGCATCCAGTCTGAGTAAATGTCTTATTTTATGTCACAGACTTCACACAAGCAAAAGGCCTTGCCTTCAGCCTCCCTTTGCCCTTTGTCTCTTTTCCCTAGACTTGAAATGCCTCAGAGAGACCCCCAAGAATTGAATGATTAGTATTTGAAATCCACTAATCTAGACTCATTTATGGTCTAATAAAGGATTTCCTAATTCAATACCATGACAGGTCATATGTTCCCTGATTGACTTGTTTTTGCAACAGGGATTCATTACTTACCAAACAGCCTCACCCATTTACTATAAAACTCAAATTGATTCAGTAAGCAAGGGTTTCTGTTTGCTATGGGATTAGGTGAGATTTATGTTGATAGGTTAAGAAATAGATCCTTTCCTCTCAGCTTCTACCAGTTTCAGACTTCTCAGAAAGAATGATATTCAAACCGATTCTTCAGCATGGATTAATGTCATATTTTAACTAAGCTGATAAATTGTAAGTACCAAGTTGTTTACCTTCCTTTGCTATTAATTGTACTCTCCGCGGTCAACATGAATTCTCTAACAGCCCAAACACACACAGCCATTTACCACTCAAACAATTGCAAGAGCATACAAGGAAAATAAGCAATAAAGGAATATAATGGAAAGTAGTCAATATTGTAAAGCTGAAAAGAGAAATGCAAAGTGTAATAGAAAGAAATGGAAAGAGAAAATATATGTTGTACTCTTATTTGTAAAGTTAAAAAAAAATTAATAAAAAGGGAAAAAGAATGCATTAGTTCTTTGAACTGCTTAATTAGTGTCAGTCACTGTAAAAGGTATTTTATATTCATTAACCCATATATCTATTGAAAAAAATGGTGAGGTAGGGGTTGTTGTACCCATTTTACAGGGGAGTACAAATATTTTAGTAATTTGACCAAGGTCTTACAGCTAATAAGTTACAAAGTCCAAATTTGAACTCATTCAGGGCTTTCTTAACTCTGTATCTATGTTTCCTTAATATGCTGCAGAGCAGAAATACTTAAAAGGAAATAAATGTTTTAAAATAGCAATTTTATCTTTTAGATATTAGCCAACTAGCATAAACACAATACCTACATACTACTTAGTTTATTTAAACTCCCAACATAACACCACTGTTCAGTGAGAAAAAAATGTAGTTGAAGATTTATGACCTGCCAAAAAGCTGGCTTTTCTGTTTCCAAGTAAAAGCCTTGGTTGGTTAAACTAAAGTTGTTGTTGTTGTTTTTTAAATAAATAAGTTTCTTTGTTCTAAAGTAGGAAAATTATTCATATGTGTTATATTTGCTCAAATAAATTCTGCAAGGGACCATGATTTCCGGGAAAGTGTTCTTTTTCACTTTATTTTGCTTACCATTTTTCTCTTCTTTGATAGGCATGTTCATATTTCAGATCTAATGCTTTGCCATTGAAGATTACTTTCATCAATGCTAATCCAATGGGCAAAAATGTCAGCATCATTTTTAAGGTACAGTAACTCCTAAAGCATCAAATTGATTACATTGGTAGAAATTTTGATTTATTACTCACACAAAAATTACTGTAGCTATTTTCTTCTGGCAACAACACAGAAGATTCCAGTTATTTTTGATTCTGCATTTTTACAGAATTATTGTACATGCCAAACTACGATTGGCAATAAATCAAACATTACTGGCTTCAAGTCAGTGAAACTTCAGTGCAAAACTTAAGAAAATATGTTTCAATAAACAAAATTATACAATCACTTTTGAAGAGCGCAGAAAATGAAAGGTGAGTGAGCCCCGAGAGGGACAGCTTTCTTTTGGCCTAAATACTAACTTGGAATCAAAATTATCTGTAACTCAAATGATATAAATTAATTTAACATAAAATTTTTATCTGCAAGCACTTGCGTATTCTAGCAATTCCAGTAGTTTTTTTCTGTTTAAATAAAACATAATTATGGTTCATACCAGTCTTTGTTATGAATCCCATGGGAAAACAGAGTAAAAGGTTATAGAAAAGTAGGAAAAGGAGATTTAAGAAGAAACCAAAAAAGAAAAGAAAAAAAGTAAGATTTTGCCAGTCATCCAGCTAGTTTATTCAGTTATTCAGCCGAACCAGATGCCAAGGTCTCAGAGTGATGTTTTTGGTGGATTCTGACTGTTTTTGAGGATAATGCTTAAGACGCCCATACTTTTCCTTTGAACTGTGTAACCTCAAGTGGTAATGGTCCTATGACACTGCATATTTGCTGAATTAAAAAACACATGGGCCCTGGCCAGTTTGGCTCAGCGGTTAGAGCGTCAGCCTGCGGTCTGGAGAGACCCAGGTTCGGTTCCCGCTAAGGGCACGTACTTCTGTTGCAGTTTGTCCCCGGCCCTGGTTGGTCGTGCGGGTGGCAGCCACTCGATGTGTCCCTTCACGTCGATGTTTCTCTCTCTCTCTCCCTTCCTCTCTCTCCCTCCCACTCTATCTGTACAAAAAATGGAAAAGTATCCTCGGGTGAGGATTAAAAAAAAAAACACATGGAATCTCATCTTGGCATAATTTTCTGCATGTAATTTAGAAAGCAGTTTCAAAATAAAAATTCTTATTAGTTTAAAAGCACAGCATTGTCTTTTTCCTTTGGACATACTCCATTTCTTACACCAATACTAGAAAATCTCCCCCTTATCATTTCTTAGTTTTATCAAAGGCCATTTACTCTGAAAGCTTTTCAACTGCCCTCATAATAAGAGAAGCCAATGATTCGAAGACTGATGAATCATATGTGTGCTCTTTATCCTCACAGTCGAGAAGTTCTTGGTATCTGTTTATCAGTGAATACATTTATGACATACCAAACAATGTCTCACTTAACTCTTTCTTGGCTGAGTTTGAAATTTGAATGAACATTCATTTAGCCTTTCTTCACTAGACTTTGAGTCTAAGACATTGCACATGGATAATAAATTGAAAGATTATTGGGAAACAACATTCCAAGCAGCTTCTAATTTGATGGCTGAAGCTTCTGTAGTCACTTAAAGGAAAGTTCTCATTTTCTTTGGTCTTCTATCAGAAAGATAGGTACTGCTAGTGCAAATAAAATAATTTAAATCACTCTAAGTCAGGCTGAAAATTCATTTGAGGAAAGAAATGACATATACCATATTTGAAAGCTTTTAATGCAATTCGAAGAGAAACCCAGAGTCTATATTTTTGTCTTTAACAGGCCGGAGATGATCTTCGTCAGGATATGCTTGTTCTGCAGATTGTCCAAATGATGGACAATATCTGGCTGCAGGAGGGCCTGGATATGCAAATGATCATTTATAGCTGTCTATCCACAGGAAAAGGCCAAGGTCAGTATAGATTAGATAGTGGGTTGACTTACATTACTTATGTCATACATTCCCTAGTAAAATGCCACCAGACTTTCCACAGCGCTCATTTTAGACTACAAATTTTAAAATCCAAAAACTATACATAACCATTCTTCTTTTTAGAAAAGAATTATTTTCAAAAACAATAAGCCAAAATAATTTATATAAAGCATATGTCTTTTTAGATATTAATGAGAACCTTGACAATCCAAATGTTAACTGTGATTCTTTTGTGTGTCTTTCAGAGTTATTTAATTAATAACTGATGCCTATTTTTCTATTTTTTTTTCAGAATGATAATAGAAAAGCTTACACATTCAAAAAAATACAATTGTTGCCTAATGACACAAAATTTGCAAAGTTGCAAATGCTTAAAGTAGTTCTAAAAATTCTAAAGACATTGTAAACCTGCACTTAATTTCTAAAAGACTTTAAAGGATAAATAATATCAACAGTCGAAGGTGACCATACATGCAAACTTTGAGCATCCTCCAGCATTTCTTCCCCTTTATAAAGCCTAAGACATTATTATGGAAATATAACTACAATTATGCACATTGGTAATGAAAATAATGTCAGTGACCCACCCAAATTATTACCAAAATATCAAAGGTAAAAGGTGTATTAAATTATAATTATGCTAAGTTTTAAAAATACTTAAGATATCTTAAATAATTTTTTACATGTGGTCATTGCCACTTAGAATTTCATTAAAGTGATTGGTATGAATTATAGCAGATGCTTCTGCATAAACAAAGGGATAAAAAAAATCATAGAAGAAAAGAGACCCAGAACCTTGCAGTCATTTCTTTTCATTCCAGCAGAGCTACAATTTACAGCCATCATTACATAGGAAAACCCATCCCTCCCTGCCTCTCCAGTTCCTGACATTCCACAGCTAGGCTCAGTACCCCAGCCTACTGTGATTTGAGATTTCAGAAGTTAAGCATGGAAGCACCTTCTAGTTAGTTTAACTCGCGAGTCGAATTTCAGTATGACTCTATTGTCATCCTACTCAATTATTTTGATTCTTATAATAGGGCTATTGGTTCCATGCCAAGTGTCCCACCCCTGAACCCTTTCTAAAGCTTTAGTTCCTCAAAGAGTCTTTTATCATTGCTACTCTGAGATAGTTTTATTTCTTGAGTTTTACTCTCTTTTCTCATGTGACCTAATTCTTTTATAGCCTAATATGCTGAAAGTGTAAGAATAAAACTAGATGAGCCAAGCTGAGCTTTATGATGTCACATGGATTACCTTTTCTCCCGAAACTGAATATATCACTGACCTCCGTAAAATTCTTCAGTTCCGTCTACTCATTTCTCAGTTTATAACCAGAGAATGGAACAAAGGCTAAATCTTTTGAAGTTAATAAAATGATTCAGCAAAAAGTAACTGTAGGCTTGCCCAAAACTGCAGATGTCATAATTCAAACTAGTTATTCTTTCGCCCAGCAATTTTCTGTAGTTGTAAAATTTCTGACGGCATTATACAAGCAAATTATTTCTTCAAGAAAAATAGAGATCATTAAAGCAAATGTCATTTTTAGGTTGCATTTTTAATCATGTTCCAAGGTTTAATGACTATCTACTGTTCTCAAGGAATGCCACAAAGTAAGGTAGGGAATATTAAAATGAGCTAAACAGAGTTGTGGCCCTTAAGGAAAGTATACTCCAGACCAGAAGTTTACGTGATTTTATAAACATTATTGTTTATTATAATTCTCATGACTAATTTGTATATAATGTCCTAAGAACTTTAGAAGAGACTATCAGGGCAAATAAAAATTCTTTTTAATTAATTTTATTTCTGGTTCTCCAAATTTCATTGACATAAAAATCACTTAGGGAAGCCCTGACCGGTTTGGCTCAGCAGTTGGAGCGTCGGCCTGCGGCCCAGAGAGTCTTGGGTTTGGTTCCCGCTAGGGGCACGTACCAAAAAAAAAAAAAAAAAATCACTTAGGGGAATTGGAAGAGCAAATATAACAAGGCCCCGACCAAGGTACTAAGTCTGGCTCTGCACTGCGGGTGGGGGTGGGGGTGCTCAAGTCTTGGTGATTGAAAAAGCTGCCCTGGTATTTCTTATGCACCCCTTTTTGAGAACCACTGCCTTTTATGATACCATCTTGAAAAGTTTTGTTCTCAAGAGCCCTGCTACTTAAAGTATGACCCATGGACCAGCAGCATTGACATCCCCGGGGGACTTGTTAGAAATACAGAATCTCTGGCCCCACCTCCTTCCCACTGAATCAGAGCCTACCTTTTCACAGGATCTCCAAGTGATATATCTGTGCATTAAAATCAGAGAGACGCTGCATTAAAGGACTGTAAGACTGGAACCACACATATCACTCAATTCTCACCAAATTATGTTAGAAGTATTAAAAAAGTGTATGATATGTACTAGCTTAAAATATATAAAATGTAATTTATGGTTTTAATTAATAGGCAGAATTTAGCAATCATGATTGTTATAAATTGGGTACAAGGTTTTCTGTGTAGTCAGCAATGCAAGGCTTATGATAAATGACTTGGGATTTAGCAAAGATTAACTCCCTGAAGACAAATGTGGTCTGAAAACTAACTGATAGTGCTGCAGTATAGTATCCAAAGGGTACAATATTCTAATTCTTAATTTTGGGCATGGTCAGATGAGAGGCTGCAGAACCAGGTAGAGATCATTTTCCTTTAGGAAGTGTTACATGGAGGAATTGGAAAAATGAAGAGGGAAACGTTCAGGATCAGAAAGAGGAATCACCTCTTTCCGGAGTAATTCCGTTACTACTAAATGTAATGCTTTACATTTGCTATCTCACTTAATACACATGAAAGAAACCTACACAAGAGGCAAATACTGTTGAAGGAGGAGGTACAAGTGTTATGATATTAAGGATGTACCCAGTATCCAGAATTTCTCTCTGGGGTGTTGTTTCTCTTTTTTTATTATTATTATTATTTTTAAACATATAGGTTTCATAGGTTGCATTTGCAGCATTCAATTCCCACTCCCCAAGTTTAAGTTTCTTTCTGATCCAGCAATGTCTATGCTTAATGGTCACAGCTGGGCTATTGGATATCAGGAGACACTGAGGCTGCAACCAGCTGTCACTGGCGAAATCCAGCACAGAGAAGTGTTTCGTTTACTATCGCTGTGATCTCGTGTTTGTTGTTTAATTTGGATGTTTTTAAGGTAGACCATGAAAATGTTCATTTAAAAACTCAACCATCTCTCTCTTTATATAATTACATTTGTGTCCCTGGTTTCTTCAGGAATTTGAGTGTGCAACTCGCAATTGTCACGATGGTAGAAATAAGAAGTTCTATACTTTAATTTCTTTCCATTACTTTATTTACAGAACTCTACATTACAGGTTGTTTTTGGACATTAGTCCTAGGAAAGTTATAAATACTGGGTTTAAACTGCTTTTCTGAACATAATAATAATCAGTGGGCTTGAAAATGTTTACATTTCAGTAACCTCATGAATACAATGAAGAAGAAGCCTTGATGGAGACATGGCCATGGGGCAAAGGTCCTGTTGAAGTTCAATCAATATATGCTCTCTTTAAAGAAAATCATTATCATAGTTTTTCTTTAATGTTGACTGAGAAGGAAGGGGCAGGTGCCTCTCTACATGTTTACTGTAAAGTTATTGTGTTCACTCCTAGAAAATGACCATTTAACTGTGAAGCTTTTCTGAACCTGAACATTGATTTTTATAATGTATTTTAAATATTTGTTATGGAGATTATATTTGGCTTGCTTACCAAACTTGGTGTACAAGTTTGAATGTCCTCCCTCAAACTGTAAATGAGTGCATAAGCCATATGTTAATTGATCCACTATGCTACTGACCCAGTGGGGTCTCTGTGAGACATCTAAGTTGACTCTACTGTAGCTCTAGAAAAAAATATTAAAGCTCTTTCTGACATGTGTGATCCAAACACAACGTAACCTCAATGCTCCCCAGGATTTTAAAAAAATTAGAAGGGAAGCCATCTAGATAATTCTTCTTCAGGAAAGTTCGGGAAAGGAAACGGGTAATTCAAATCATGCCGGCAACTATTGTTACCTAGATAAAGATGTATTTTCTAAGTATCCCTCATCCTGTGAAGAAAGAATTATTTTCATAATGTCTTTTCTGTCGACCAGGATTGGTGCAGATAGTGCCCGATGCTGTAACCCTAGCAAAGATCCATCGCCACTCTGGACTGATAGGACCACTAAAGGAAAATACAATCAAAAGGTGGTTCAGCCAGCACAACCACTTAAAGGCGGATTATGAAAAGGTTTGTCCTGATGGAGCCAATTTCACATAATGTACTTAAATAAGAATATGCTCTGTCTCATTAAAAATTCTGATTTATGAAAAAGTAAATCTTTGAGTTCTAATTCACTCAGCCATCAGCCTAGTAATAATGACCCATTTTCAATATATTAACTAGATAAAAATGCCTGTGTTTGGTTTCTCTTCTGGGTGAAATCCCATGCTGTCAATAAAGACTTTCTTTGCTTAACTGCCTCCTTTATCTCACTTAAGATGATGCTCCTTAAACTACTTCCTTCAAGTTACCTCTGCCTATTTGCACACAATCTCCAATTTCTATAAATTTCTCTGCTTCCTTTGCAATACATTTCTTCTGCCAAGCTCTACTTTGTCGTGCCTTATTCTTTCAATGTTTGCAAAATGCATAATAGAGTTTTAATTTTTTAATATCTCAGTACTTTACACAACATACTGTTTTATTTGACTGTGAACATTTTTTCCCCACTTTACTTCATCCTGGCATCTGGCCAGCAGCATGCAGTTGTGTATGTTATACACCAGGGCTTCTGGTTAAAGGGAAGCGTTGGTTAGAGCCAGGCCTTGTTGTATTTGCTGAGATATAAACTGGTACATCTGGGTCCACCCGGAGGCGGAGGCACCTTTCTGCGATATGGGCCAGCCTTAGACTTGCTCAGAACTGTCCTGAGCACTGAAATTTTCTCGTTCTAGGGAAGCTCTCAGTCTCGGACAAACTGGGATGATCGGTGACCTTGCTAGCATGGGTCATGCCCGAGAGACCCAAGAGTTCCCCTATTCCAGACTTCTGTGAAATTGCAGTGGAGCAAAATATAGGCTTTGGGAAGCCAAAAAAAAAAAAAGATTTAGAGGTTATCTTGAAATTTACTTTGGCCATTCCCCAAATTGTAACTTGAGTTTTGCACAAATCTCCATTTATCATTATACTGTTTTAGGTGTTTCCACATACCTTTGTTCTTCACAGCCACAATGTGAAGAGCATATTTTATCTTCACTTTATAAGTGAAGAAAATCTAGACAGACAAACTATGTGACTTGCCCAGACACTGGACTGAGGTATCCCAGGCTGTAGTCCAGTGACATAGACTCCCAGTCCAGCAAGTCAGTCACACCATTGGAGGACACTCATAACCATGGCCCAACCAATCACTCATGATTACACCAAGGAGACTCACGGTTACGTCACTGATAAAAATGATGCATATCCAAGAGAACATTTTGAAAACAAAGTAATTTTGACAAGATATCTGTGTGCATCAAAGAAATATAAGCCACAAATGACTTAGCAGTAATTTGTTTCCACTCACACAAGCATTCATTGATATATACTGTACCAAAACACTTTTAGACATCAACTGGACAATCAATTTGCAAGGATAAACATAAAACATCACAGATATCTCAACATAGCTTTTTCTGTGTTAAAACTTCAAATATTAAACAGCTGATATTTTAAATTTTTCTGGGGATAGGCAATATTAGGCCATATTGTTTCTTCTTTTACCTTGAAAAAAATCATTCAATATTGTGTATTTGAGACATCAAAAAATCACACCAGGAATGCTCTCTAGGAATTCTGAAAATTAGCTCCAATTGAATGAAAGAGATGTTTTCCCCAATTTCAATGAAAACATTTGTCTATTAAGCTAAAGAAGAGATTACCTCCTGTTCTTCTGTAGCATAGCAAGAACCAGTTATATAAGCATGCCCTTTTCTCAGTGGAAATGTAGAAGTGGTCCTTGATTGTGTAATTCTGCTTTCATCGTACTTTTTGCCATTAGCTCTGATGTGAATGCATTTGCTCATTTTTATATGTGTGTTATTTTTGTGTTATTGTTTTTCAACTAATTAGGCCTTGAGAAACTTTTTCTATTCCTGTGCTGGCTGGTGTGTGGTAACGTTCATCCTGGGAGTCTGTGACCGTCACAACGACAATATCATGCTGACAAAGTCAGGCCACATGTTTCATATTGACTTTGGAAAAATTTTAGGTCATGCACAAACATTTGGAGGGATAAAAAGGTCAGTGCACAAATAACTTTTATTACAGTAATTAAGTAATGTCCTAGAGTGATATATAATGGCATAGAAACCAAGCAGATAACTTCCCATCTTTCAAACCCCGGAAGATAACATAAACATAATTATAGATCTAATAAACTAAAGGAAATTTTTATCAATAGTTTGTTAATGAAAAAATTAGTTTCTGAAAATAGTTAGTGGACTAAATTGGTCCTCTCTGCGATACTAATCCTGTTCTAATCTAAATGATTTGAAATACATTTTTTTTTTAAATAAACCTTGAATGGACAATGAGGCATAAGTTTATGGTTTCACTGCATCCAATACATTGCCTATAGCATTCACCACCCCTGGTCCATTTATTATAAAACTAACACACTTTCTGAAATCAAACATTTTTGAATCATTCTAATTCAGTGAGCACCTACTAATCAAGACTCTGGGGCTACAACATTGAACAAGACATATACAAACCTTGATCTGGCTCTAGTAGAGATGACAGGCATTAAGCAAATTAATGTGGAAAGAAATAAAATGAGGAAATAAGGAGTCTAATTTTTTATTGAGAAATTGAAGCAGAGCCTCTGTGGCTCAGTGGTTGAGCATTGACCCATGCACCAAGAGGTCACTGGTTTGATTCTGAGTTAGGGCACATGCCCAAGTTGTGGGTCAAATCCTCAGTGTGGAGCATGCAGGAGGTGGCCAATTGATGTTCTCTCTCATCAATGTTTCTCTCCCTCTCCCTTCCTCTCTTTCTAAAAATTAATAAAGGAAAAAAATAAAAAATAAAAAGTAAATTGAAGCAGAGGAATGAAATAGAAAGTGACCGAGGCAGGGATGCTGTTTTAAAGAAGCCTCTTGGAAGAGATGAGAGACAGCTGTATAATGAGTGGTAACTTTGTGGAGATCCATGAGAAGAGAGAAAACCAAAACTAACAAACATTAGTGTCGATATAAGCATGCCATGTTCCAGCGGCAATAAGAAAGCCTGGGGCCTGAAGGTAGGATAGAGAGGGGCAGACCGCAGGAGGGGAAGCTGAAGAGTGGTGGAAGTCGAAACAAGGAGGGCACTGAGGATGTGGTATGGAGGTTAGCTTTCCTTTTAGGTCCAGGGGCAAACCATTGATGGACTTCAGTGGAGTTCAAAGCTCTCACCTACTGTCCAGTGAGGTAATGAGACCAGTTAGGAGGCTACTGCAATGATTAAGGCAAGACCTTAATGGTAAAAGGTAGTGAATATATTTTGAAGTGAGACACAGAACCTGCTAATTGATTGGGCTGGGGAAAGGGTCCCAGTGGATTAGAAGAGAAAAGAAAATGTTCTAGGATGGATCCTACATTCTTGGTTTTAGCAAATAAGTATATCATTTACTGGAAGGCAGAGACTGATGGATGAATAGGTTTTTCTTTTATTTTATCTAAATTGGAGGCAAGAAAACCAGAAGTCCCTTGCTTTAAGATGATACTGCATATAAAAGTAGAAATGGGATCAGATCATTCCAAAGACTAACCAGTCATTTTAGCTAAAAAAAAAAAAAAAAGCTCCTTAATAATATCAACTACAATATAATGTGATGAACTTTCTCCAGATGGCCATAATCTGGTATTAAAATGCCAACATAAAGTATATAATATGGATCTTTAGGAATAAAACTGATTTCTTGCTGGGACAAAGGACTTTTATACTCATGCTTACATCACCGTTCCAGAACCTCTCACACTGCCATCTGTGTGGTTCTGGTTAGGAAAGGTCTGCACACATTGGGCTCTGCACGAGAGTCAGCCCAGCAACACTCTGGGTTTGGATTCCTTCCCCAGATGTCCCTGAACCATTCCTCTGAATTTCATCTTGCAGAAATCTGGAAAGCTCATCTTCCTGATTACACCAAACCTGAGGTTCCTGTGGACTTTCTAACTTTGAAGAAAGAAAAAAAAAATCACATTTCAGAAATGAATATAAAGGATTTCACATCCTGCACATAAACAAACAGTTCTTCCTATTGGCTTTAATTATAAGATTAGATAAAGAGGATTTACACCAGCGGATTCAATCTCAAGATGATTCATTAACGTATTTTTTAATGATTCTGGGAAAATTTGGCTAATCCCTGTAATGAAAATAATGACAAATCGCACCATTTTTCTGAAACATATTAGTTTTTCTTCTGAAGTATTGCTTAATTATTATCTTTATTTCTCCATTTCTCTCACAAAGATTCAAATTAAAGTGTTTCAGTTAAGCATACACAATTTTTCACTCAAACTTCCCCTGCAACAATGATTTCTATATAATAATTTTTCATAACCTAAAAGATACTGTTATAATAAACTCTAAATTTCAACTTAGTTTTTTGATGACTCTCTTTTAAGAAGAAAAATAATGAAAGGTCTTTATTGCTGATATTCATTGCTTTCCTAACTCATTTTTTTATACTTTTAGTTTTTTAGAGTATATTTTCACAGACTACATTATCTTTCATTTTTGTAATACTAGACTTTCATGAAGTCTTTCTTGAAGCTTTCTTTCTAGATATTTTTAAAGGCTATATGAGCAGTGGTTAAGGTCAGGTACCCTGGAGATAGATTGTATGTTGTTTTTTTTAAATCTAATACTAACATGTACTAATAATGTGAGCTTGAACAAATGGCTTCTTTGTGACTCAGCTTAATAATCTATAAAACAGATTTGTTTTGAAGATTAAATTAATTTCTATATGTAAAGAGTTTAGAACAGTGACTAGCACTAAAGGCTCCATACATGTTTATTGTATTTAATTATAATGTAAGTACTCCAAATGAAATGACAAGAAAAGAAAATGCACCTCTAGATGGCAATTGTTTCTTTTCTTTAAAATTATCTAAATATATTCTTTTGGGGCATTTTTTAAAGTATGTGCTTTGAAAGTCAAAAATTGAACCATTAGTCCTTTACGTTCTCTGACTTTGAGGCTTGTTGATGGACAGACGAGATTGCACCATTTGTCCTGTTTAGTTAGATTGTAAGGCATTTCACCAGGTCATCCTTGACTTCAGATATAATGTAGACACCCGCAGAGGTGTGCTGGACCGGCTTGCAAGAGCCTATTGTATTACTTCTCAACTCCATATTCAGTTACATCAGTTGGTAGCCTGAAATCAGCCATAGTTGCAATATATACACAGTGGAAATTGGCAAATGTCACAAATCATAGATTTTTTTTCTAAAAAAAAAGAAAATGAGCTAGTTATTCAATATTTACCACCACACAATAGGACATAAATCCATTTAAAACAGATGAAAAGTCATTCCAGAACTCAACAAAATAAAATTCAAACTTGGTTCTTTCCCTATTAAAATATTTACACCAGGATGATCCAAATATTATATGTTTTCTTACAACATGCTTTATATCCTTTCCAAGTTTTATCCTCATAAATCACCAATCAACTAATGATATTAATCTCAGAATTTTTTTCTTATATTAGTCATAAACATTCTCTGCATCGATGATCATTTTGACATTGTCTTGGGTGATTACAACTGATTTAAATATTTTTAATTAATTTCTAATTTGAATATTATAATATTTATATTCTAAATATTCTCCATTGAAAACCATCTTTGGAAAACAAAACTCCCTTAGCAGATTAAAAGATTAATTTTTGTCTTACTCCACTCATTCTGGTTTAATGCAATATGTAGACTAATCCAAATGCTATACAGATATTAATGATCTTACACATGCTTTAATTACTATCTTAGCATTCTTTCAAATTAAATGAGTCTTACTGATTTGTTATTCATACAATTGGTTAATAAGAAACTCTGTGGTTCCTTTTCCTCTAAGAAGACCTCACCTAAATTTTCCAGAAGAAACACACACTTTCTAATAACTCTTTAACTGTGAATGTCTTTACATCTTTGTATCTTAAGCACCTAGCTAGTACTTGACATGTAGCAGGGGCTCAGTCTTGGTTGATCACTACAAAATGCCACAAACTTTCTATCTCCTGACCTGAAAAAGTATAATTTTTCTGAAGATATAATTATTAAAAACTTGATGTATTCTGTTTTATAACTGGAATTTCACCAAGGGATTTTTACTTAGTGCTCACTCTACATGTGGGAGGGTGGGGGAAAAGACTTAAAATTTGAGACCACCATCTCATACCCATGAGAATGACTACTATCAGAAAACAAGTGTCAGCAAGGATATAGATAAACTGGAACTCCTGTACAATGGGAATACATATTGGTACTACTGCTGTAGAGAATAGTATGGCTCTTACTTAAAAATATAAAAATAGAATTATCATATGTTTTAGCAATTTCACTTCTGGATGTATACCCCAAAAAATTGAAAGCAGGGACTCAAGTATTTGTACATATATGTTCTTTGCAGCATTATGCAATAACTAAAATGTAGAAGAAACGTGTCCATCAACAGATAAATGGATAAGCAGATTGTGGAAATATATACCATAGAATATTATTCAACCTTAAAAAAAGATTCTGACACATGCTACAACATGGATAAACCTTGAGGAATTATGTTAAACAAAATAAGCCAGTCGTAAAAAGGGAAATGGCATGTTTTCGCTTATATAAGAGACTTAGCAGGAGTTAGGAAAGAGAGGAATGAGGAGTTATTGTTCAACTACTATAGTTTCAGTTTCATGAGATGAAAATAATTATGAAGATGGCTGGTAGTGATAGTTGTACAACTTTATGAATATTTTAATAACGCTGAACTTGTAATTTATAAATGGTTAAGATGGTAAAGTTTATGTTATGTTTTTTTCTACCACAATGAAATAACTGAAAAAAATATGGTATACTATAAGTATCACAAAGAACTTGTCAATCACAAAGTCAATTCTAGGCAAACTACACCTAGAAATGAATAGTGCTTTCAATTTTCAAAGCATTCTCACATAGACTATTCCAAGAAATAAAGGTTGTTATCATTCCCATCTTCTTGCTATTATTTCTCCCTCTTCTACTTCATGTCATCATTCCA